AAATAAGCCGAAATTTTTGCCATTTCAGCAAGATGTGAAACCTTCAATCTCCAGTCCTCAATTGTAGGTAAAACTTTACTCTTCCAATTTTGAGCTATCAACAAACGGGCAGCAGTTAAACAATACAACATCAAGTTCGTTTCTTTTACGTCCAAATTTTGTGTAATACCTAGGAGAAACAACTGAGGCAAGAAAAAAACTCTTCTTTTAAAAACTTGCTGTAGATTCCACCATAGTTTTATCCAAAAACTTTCACTTCTTCACTGTCAGCTATTACCAGCCCTTTAATGTAGGCCAGGTTAAGAAACAAAGGCTACATGTTTTCCAGGAATGCTACTGTATTATTTTAAGACATATTAATACAATTTTGAAAGTATGTTTCTCTCTTTTAGTGGCACTTGCTAACCCTAAATTGAACCCTTATTTTGAATCAATCTTTTCTCTTAACAAAGTTCCTAATGATTCCTCAGAATAACCGGTTGTACTGTCATATTATTATCCAGATTCTTGCATGATTTATACAGGGTTCCCAAGCTTGTGGTCCATGGGCTGCATATAGACCTCCATGACATTTTCTGTGGTTTACAACAATAGTGGCCAGAATAAGTTCTGCAAGGCATCAGTCTCTAATCCAGTGTTTCTCAACCTTGATAATTTTAAGGCATGCGGACTTCAACTCCCAGAATTCCACAGCCAGCATTGCTGGCTGTGGAATTCTGGGAGTTGAAGTCCACATGCCTTAAAATTGTCAAGGTTGAGAAACACTGCTCTAATCTAACAGGATCTATCCCAGGAGACAGCAATGCTCTCTGTTCATGTCTGGGGGTATAACAAGTGAAGCAAGAACTAACTAAATTGACAAGATAAGGATGGAAAAGAGAAGCTTTCCCCATGGTCCCAAAATAGTAAAAAGCACCTCACTCACTGCACATGTAGCAGTAAACAGCTTGATGATCTTGGACAAGAACTATGGATCCACCCTGAATATATAACTGAGCATCAGGAGACTGGTAAAAATGTAAAGGCAGTGAAATTCACCAGGCTCCTTGCAGATGCTGAGACCAACAGCTTCAGGCTAATAATAAATGCAGGTACTATGAGAGAGGAGGCCAAAACCCTAGTCCCACTCTTCCCGATTTGCCTGGTCTCCCTATCCTAGTCCCTATCCCTAGCTATAGCTACTTCTATAGTTACTCCTCTACTCTTATGTAGAGATACAGTCTAAGCCTGGCTCCGTTAAGAGCTGTGTAAGTGGTGCCCCCACCTAAAGTTTCAGCACTTTATTACAAAATTTCTGGGATTTGCTCCAGCCTCTCTCTATGCAACAACTATTCATCACACATTAACAGTAATTTAAACTCACCACATGTTAACAGTAATTTAAACTATCGTTGTACAGCTATCTTTTCAGCCTATACACTCACTCCTCATTTAGCAACCACCTTATTTAACAACCATTCACAAATATGGTAATAAAAATTATTTTCCAATCAATGTATACAATTATTACCAAATTTTGGGTGCCCAACAACACACACCAGAGTGAGAATCCTGGCATAGCTATACAAAAGAAGTGTATATGAGTAAAACAGCAGCAACTAGTGATCTTTGAAACATTTGTCAGCTTTGCAAGTAGTCCAGACAAGCACACTAGCACTAACTTTATTATAAAGTTTCTTTAACAGAATCATGCATGTCTGAAATTATATTTTCTCTTCTACCTCTTTATAGGCCAAGAAACGGAATATATGGCCAAAGTGAAATGATTAAAAAAGCCACTGTTACACAGTAACTTTATTTAATAAAAACATTAAAAATATATCTTCATTTTCTTTACTTATTCATTAGATTTTGGATAAATATATGAAAATGCTTTAATGTTGCCATTTGAATTTGAGATCCCTATTCTAACAGCAATTCAAACTCAAGTCTCTCCATTTCTTCTTCGGATCATGGCCCTTTAATATATTTCACTCTTTCTTTTTCTCCATGTAAAAAAAAACCCCTTGGTTAGATGAAAGGTCAATACATTTATTTTGATAGATTGAACATTTTCATATCTTTTTTCAGGCTCATGAAACTGCTTCACATACTGCTCATGGTAGTCGCTATATGGATATGCATGAACTTAAAAGAATTTGAAAACCCCTATAGCAAACTATCTAAATTTTAACCTAGCATAGTCTATAAAACCTTCCTGTGTATATTATTTTCTTTGAATTTATTTTGAAAACCCAAACAATTGGTTTTATTTCAGTAATTTGTATGCTATTCATTAGACTCTATACATCTTATAATACATAAGATATAAAAAATAAATTATACAAGTGCTGTCTTCTAATTTTATGTCTTCTAATTAAAAATCCTTCTCATCAAATGTTCTCTGAGAACAACTATTTTACCATTAAACAATAGGATTGGGCTGATCTGACCTCAGGGGTAAAGCTGTTCAAGAGTGCTAATGAAGTTATCTTCCAGGCCACAATCCATTTGATTTCTGAAAGAGTGGATACCCAAAATATGTGCTCCTGGTTAGGCCATGTAGGGTAGGGAAATATAGTATACATAGTGTCTGGTCAGCCAAAGATATCTAATAATCTTTCAATCAACATAAGGTGGTGAACAGTCGTAATATTTCACCATGAGGTGAATTGGGCTGAAAGGGAGTGACTGGTCTGAAAACCATCCAGTTTGTCTTCAATGCCTAAGGAGGAATAGAACTCAAGAGTCTCCCAGTTTCTAGCCCTATCTTTCACCAAACTAGTTCTTACTATTCAGAAAAGTGCAAAAACAAATGTGACTCAATTAAAAAAACATGTTTCAGCCTTAATACTCTATCTGAAATAAAGCCCTACAGGGCTTGGGGCTAGGTCAGGGGTAGGCAACCTTGGCTCTTTCATGACTCGTGGACTTCAACTCCCAGAATTCCTGAGCCAGCCATGCTGGCTCAGGAATTCTGGGAGTTGAAGTCCACGAGTCATAAAAGAGCCAAGGTTGCCTGCCCCTGGGCTAGGTTTTTGAAGGACTGTCTTTTCTCTAATACCTCTACCCAACCCACCAGAGTGGGAAGGCAAGGGATGCTACGGGTCCCCCTCTCCTAAAGAGGTTGGTCTAACAAAGACCAAGGGCCTTTTTTCTGCAGGTGGCTCCCTCCTCGTGAAACATCTTCCACACGGAAATAAAATTGGCCCTCACTCTGACACTCTTTTGCAAGGCCCGAAAGAGGCTGGTGTTGCCAAGAAGTCTGGGGACCTCGGAGTGTGACGCAGCCCCTTTTTTTAATTATTATTCATTGTCGTCGCAGGGCGGGGTGGTTACTGATTTTTCTTTGTATATTGGGTCTTCATCTTCGTAAGCAGCCTGGAGTCACCGATACCCATATATAAATATAAATTTAATTTTTATTTATTAAAAATATTTAAAAAAAAAAAAAACGCCTGGAAACAGCGGGGGGGGGGGGAACCAGGGACAAATCGAAATACCCCCGCCGCGCGATAAACGCGGCGCGCGTGAATCACGTCCCATTCGCAGGCGAGAAGCAGCAACCTTCTTTCGTCCGGCCACGGGGCCCTTTCGCTCGAACGCCTCCCCACGCGGAAGACCAGCTTTCCTACAACGGCACGGATCACGTGAAGGCGACGCGACGTGCAGACATGCGGGGCTCCGCCCCCGCCCCCCCCCCTCGTTCTCGCTGCTGCTTTTTTTGTGTCGGTTCAAATCCCGGCAACCCGGATGTGCCCGACCTAAAATGTAACGGTCTCTTTCGCCGGTGAATAGGTTCAGACGTTACGATGGCCCTCGTCGGTTACACCATTCCGGATAGCCATGCCTTTTTTTTTTCTTTTTCTTTTTTTTTGGGGAGGGGGGTTTCTCTCAATATGAGGAGGGGATGGCAACCACTTCAGGCGGCGCTATTATTGGCGCCGGCCGGGTACACTAGGCCGGCGGGGGGGTGGGGGATTGTGAGCAGCGCGGCCTCCTCAGGCTCCCCTTGGGCCTTTTGTGAGCCGGGCATTTCGTTAATTAACATGGCGCGCCTCAGTCTCAGGGAAAAGGGCCCCCACTAGGCCGGCAGGCCCGTTTCCCGCCGGGGGCTGCGGCTCCTCCCACCGCCATTTTGAGCCCAAGCCTCTCTTCGCTCGAAGGGCCGCGACGGCAAATCCCCAATTCTCACCTTCCCCGTAATCCATGGCGGCGACGGCTCTCGGGGTTTTCTAGGCGCGCTTAGAAGCGGTGCTGGGAGCGCCGTCACTCTCCGTGTGGCGGTCACAAGCTCCCTGTGACGTAATTTCCTTTCCCAGCGACGTAGAGGAGCACGGCGCGGCACGCACGGCTCCGAGCACGCTTATTGGCTGCGTCAACCCCTCTCCGAGCATAGAGCCGGCGCGCGCGCGCGAGAGAGAGAGAGAGAGATAAAGGGGCAGCGCGAGCACGAGCAGGTTTCAATAGCCCCCTAGAGATAGCAGCAGCTGCGGGAAGATTGGCCGGGAGGAAAAAAAAAAAAAAGAGTAGGAACGGCTTTCTTTATCGCCCCCTAGCGGTCAAGGGGGTCTCTGCTTGTCCAGTTAAGATAGTATCAGAATTGTGGACAATGAGAAGACGTTGTGCAACATGTCGTTATTTTTCCATAGGGAAAATTACAGAGGGTCAGGGTGGCAAGGGTGAGACCTGTTTGAACTCTCCCATCAAACTCGGTGAGCGAGATTTGATCGATTTTTTTCTTTAAAGAAACGTCTAAAAAATATCCTCGTGCGTCTCATATTCCAACCGAATTTCAGGGGTCTGATCAACTGGTTACTCCAGTGGTGTTCAATCTCTTGTACACGTGTCGTAGGTGGGATTCTGAGGTAGTGCAGGAGGGGCACGCAGTAAGTCACCGAGGTCTTAAAACTTAGCACAAATCACTTTTTATGCATTCAACACATTTATATTACTGTAGCTGCCCATCTCACAATCGGGCATGTAAAAAATGTGAACGTTCCTGGGGACTTTGGTGGATCCAGGTTATTTATTCATGTAGCAGTATTTATAAGCCGCTCAGTCTAGCCAGGATCTGGCAGCACACAATTCAAAGTACAATAACACAAAAACCAATCACTTAAAATAATGCATTCAGGTAACTGATGGCCACCAAGCAGAACAATGGATCAAAAACTCACCCTTCTATTGGTCTTTTTATAAAATTACTGATGAAATGTAAGCAATAAAAGGAGCATAAAATCTTCTAGGGTATGGGCTGATTTTATAGCTTATATAACATCCTTGGAAGGGTACTTAATTTTTCCAGGGATAATAAAATATCAGTCAAACACTTTAGGTAATGATAAAAATGAAGTCTTCTCTTGGTTGAATATGATTCTTGTAACAAATGCACAACATTTACACTTTCCTGGAAATACAGTGGAATTGATTTGTCTGGATGTTTTTCAACTTCCCTGTGTATTAACTAGCTCAAATTTATTTAAATTCCAAGTTCAGGCAAGGTCAATAAATTCCTGCCACTTAAAGTTAGAAACATGTAAACTGCTGGAATTTGTATTATTTGGGGTCAAAGTACAATAACTTTTAGGTTGAAACATGAAAAAAAAATGTTTTCCTCAAAAAAATCTACATTAGATCAAGCTATTCATGCAAATATAATGTCTGAGAGCTTTCGGAAAATGTTCATTATTCCAATTCTCCTCCCAATTGTCCTATCTTGCTATGGCATTCCTGAAGGCATTGTGCAAACCTGTTAAAGCAAGGTTTTTTTGTGTTATCTTTTTTAAAAAATTATTCCTAGTTTTAATACATGCAGTTATACAGTGCTTTTAATAGGATCAACTAAAATGTCGTAATGTTTTCAGCCAGCTTTTGAATTATCCAGAATTCTTGTTTAAGTCTGATGTTAAAATAGCAGGGAAGGAGAAAAACAGAATATGTCATAGAACACTGGGATCTGGAAGTGGGAAACAGGGATTTCCATTCAAACTATTAACTGGAAGAAAGGGTGGGACGTATTTCATAAATTAGATTAGGGGCCAGAATTATTGCTAGCTGATTCGTATTTTTATATATGGCCTATCATCTCACCAAATTTTTGGAGATAGCATTCTGGTTTTTCACCCGATTTGTTATAATTAATGATCAAAGTATGGAGATGTTTGTTGATCTTGCATATACCACTGAAATATGATAATGGAATATAAGACACCAGCAAAACTTAGGATGACCACCAAAGCCTTGATACATCCTGTATGGGTAGTCTTCGCTTAACTAAGAGAATTGGGAATACAATTTCAATCACTAAGTGATATTCATAAAGTAGGGCATCATGCGACCACATCACTTAGTGACAGCAATCTCAGCAATCCCTGTTGCTGTCATTAAAGGAGTTCCAGGTGACTTGCAAGCACGCCGGCTGTGTAAGTGGCTGTTGCCTAGTGAGTGAGAATGCAAGTGACTTACAGGAGCGACTTGCAAACAAGGTTGCAAATGGTGATAGCAATAATAATAGCACTAAAACTTATATACCGCTTCATAGTGCTTTACAGTCCTCTCTAAGCGGTTTACAGAATCAGCATGTTGTCCCCAACAGTGACTGTGGGATGCTGTGACTGTCACAAGTGCAAGCCCATTGACCAGCACCCATATCATGGTCACATGACCTCAGGGCTGCTGAAACAGCTGGAACTTCAAAGACTGATCATAAGTACCACACATTCAGTGTTGTAACTTTGAATGGTTGTTGAATCGTTCAACAAGTGGTTGCTAAGGGAGGACTACTACATGTATCTCTTTGCTGCCATGAAGTAGTCATAGAGAGTGTTGAGAAACAAGCCAGAAAAGGTAGCTGTAATACAGCTGATGTAAACATATTTGCCACCCTACTTCCTGATGCAATAAAACAGATCTAATAGGCAGGGAAGGATTTTTCTTTCCTCAAGGNATGGCTCTGGAGAAAAAAACGTAGTTGTGCTTTGTATTTTCATGGAAGTTCAGGGACATGCTTCTCTCAGAAGAACACACAGCATCTTTCTTCCCTCTTTGCTTTCCACGTAGCAGTTAAAGTCTTTTTTTATTCTGTCATACTATTGGTCATAATACATTGATTGGCATGTACCCACTGCTGTGGTTTTTAATCTGCCAGAGGTTTTTTTCTCTACCTTGTTCTGCACAAGCCAGAGCGTCATGATGGGAATAGTCTACACATATAGTATTATAAAAAGGTCTCCACTTAATGGCTGCTTAATGTGCATGCATATGTTTGGGGGGAGGGTGTACATATACATATAAAATTCATCTATTTTTATTTCCTTTTATCTATCATTTTTTCTACATGCACACACATACACATTTATAAAAGGAAATTTAAAAATAGATGAAGCAAATTTAACAAACATTTAAGCATCTAAACCAGCGGTTCTCAACCTATGGGTCGGGACCCCATTTGGAATTGATCGACCATTTCACGGGGGTCGCCAAGCAAGGCTGTCCACCATTTTTTTGTCCGCCATTTTTTTTGTCCGCCATTTTTTTCCCCTTTTCCGGCGGGTGCCTTACCTCCCTTGGGCTGGGCCAGCTGGTGGTCGGCCTACTCCATCTCTGCCGCTTGCCAGCTACGCCTTGGCCGGCGCAGGGGGCGGAACCACGCATGTGCGGCACTCCCGGGCACTCCCTCGACTTACGACCAGTTGGGTAGTCCTCGACTTACGACCGGTTTAGTCCTCGACTTACGACCGGTTTAGTCCTCGACTTACGACCGGTTTAGTCCTCGACTTACGACCGGTTGGGGGTCGCAGCATTAAAAAGGTTGAGAACCATTGATCTAAACATTAAAAGTAGGGTAAAAAGAAATAATAATAAAAGAAGAAAAAACCTATAGGTTTCTGTCTCTCTCCTTTCTGTACGTTTGCTAATTTACAATATTTGTTAGTATTCGGCTCCTCCGTAGGTGGTTATATTTACCATGCTTTGTGATGTGTTATTGTTTTTAAGCTTTACTCTGCCCAGAGCCACACTGAGTTGGGTTGATTGATAAATCTCACAACTAAATATGTAAGTACATTTTAAATGTCTTTTTTTTAAAAAAAAATCCGCTTTACTCCAATAAACTACAGTGTTCTTTCAACTGTATGTTTTATTTTTTTAATTGTATGTATTTATTGCAAGCGGCTTTTACTACTACTAAAATGGCTAAGCTGGGCTATTTTAGACTCTTCCATGTAATGCAGCTAAAATGTATGGATTGATTATAAGATTACTCTTTATTTTTGTTCCTGGTGCTTTTTTAGAAATATCCTTAGCAAATCCTTATTTCTATTTCTATGCGTGTGTCAACGCTGCAAATACTGTATATTCTTGCTTTGACAATATGCAGAACTGTCTGGTATTTTTATAGTTAAATCAGGCAACAGGGAAAGGGGAGGAGAATAAGGAAAGCCCGGGGAAAAAGAAACCGGAAGTAAATCACATCTTCCAAATTAATTGGAAGATGTGAACCATGACCCCAAAATAGGGGCGGGAAAAATGCCTGGAATGTTGTGCCGTACTGACATCTCTGTAACCTTAATAAATGCTTTTAGGAAAAATATGCCTGAAAGTCCTTTTAAGTGTTTCATTAATCAGACACATGACAGCGTGTATATTTGTATCTCAGGTTTGGTGTCTCTCTCTGAAATTGAGGACATGATAATATTTGCGTGCCTTGCAGAATTGTTGTAAGAGTTAAAAAACAATTGAGGATAGCGTGCTTCGTGGTCTTGAAAGCACTGTACAGATCTTACATGCCGTTATTGCCAGCAATATTCTGCGCTGTTAACTATGATGAAAGAGGTTGTGGGATATGGCATGCAACCACGACACTGGCTATGTTTTAATCCAGGGCTGTGCAGGTCACCATAAAGAACAAACTGTCTGCTCCACTCGGAATGTAGAAGTGTGATTATCAGCAATTTAGAAGTTGCTCAGCAATGGGAAAACTAGCTGCAACAACACACGATGCACACTGCAGGACAAGAACCGGTTCCATCACCCCAGCAACAGTGCAGTGTGGCAAGGACATTTGCAGGCGTTGATGTTTAGTGTTGTGCTCTTAGATAAGCAGAAAGTTGTGGGAAGGAAGTAACAAGAAACAGTTTTTGTGGTCAGCTAGAGAGCATGGCAGGTGTACGGCGCGAGACAAACAGAACAATGAAAAAGTATTATTTTAACTTAAGGAAGTATTAGGGGGTTACTATGTGTAAGAAGCAGTTTGGAAAAAAAAAATACCGTCCACCTTTTTGTCTCCCCATAGGACCTCAGATGCAAACAGCAGAGAAGGG